TTTACCAAATTAGACAAATGGATAACAAAAGGAGGGGCATATACAACATTTCAGATTTCTGTTAAAGACAGGTAAACTGACATTCTACCAAGATCATTTTTTATTTATCCCACAATATATGAAGAGTCGCAAGTTTAAAATCTGGTTATGGATATTTTACAAACCGAATGAGGTATATAAGCAAGTTCTACAATTTCTACTAAACTCGGGAACAATAATTGAAAGAAATTGACTTTCAAAGTCTTTGGAATAATACAAAGCAGACCCTCTCTCCAAAGATACATCAGATGATGGAATGCACCCTTCCAAATTACTCTTTCCCCTTTACTGATTCGATAAAATCCATTCTGGTGTCCAGGCAATTCATACACCTTCAAGAGAAGCCCATGTAAGATTCAATCGTATACACTTGGTCACTGTAGGCGACAAAATGGCTGCAGTACTCTACATAAATGCTGAGGAATACATACCAATGACATCATCAGGACTTGTTCCTGAGTAGAAAGACACAGGAGACAGCACAGAGCTGTTGTACAAAATTTGTTTCATGATGGGAAGAAGATCTTCCAAGAGAGCAATCCTACATGAACCTACTCACCATCAATGGGACTTGTAAATGAGTTAAGATTCAGAGGGCAGAGTTTTGAAACAGCTGGCCACCGCTGGCACAAAGAACCACTGTCTTCCTGAGGACATGTGTTCCATCAAGGGCAAAGGCTTTTGTGACTGAAAATTAAGTTTTTTTTATTATCCTCCCATCTTCCTGAGACTCAGTAATCCTTTGTTCAAAAGAAAATAGTTCCAGATTTTGTATATAGATAGGAGAATTGCTTATTTAAACTATTATGTTGATAATGCAGCTACTTTGATTGTACAATCCCCTGAAGATAAGTGAAAGGCTATCTCTTTTGAATTGCCTGGTGGGGAGTGTTTGGGGAATTTTATGTGTGTGCATGTGTCTGGTCTCTGGGTGTCTGTGAATTTCGTTGTATGTGTATATACTTACAATGACAATAAATTATTATTATTATTAAGACAATCAACTACAGAGGGCTACCCTTCATCGCAACCAGTCTAATAGCTGCAAAACAAGGTGTTCAGAGATCTCAGCTTGGTACAGTAAGACTGTTTGCTCTTGAACATAAATACAAACTACCCATGTATGATACGCACAACAAACCTCCAACATGCAGCTACTACAGCAGAAGAAATGGTCACGCAAACCAAGAAAAGCATTTCAATTAGAACCTCCATCGTTCAAAATGTTGTATTGCCTTCATATTAACCTTGCAGAGACAGTAGCTCAGCGCTATTCTTAGCACAGTGAGGAGGCACTCCTTGATCATACTCACTATGAAACACAGTAGCACTGACTTTTGAGTAAAGATAGCTAGCAACCCACTGCAAAAATATGAGTGCCATGTGCACAAGGCTACCCAGATCATAGGGTAACCAAAAAAGTATTTAGCTCAGGTGAATATTATCCCTCTGTATCTGGAGAAAAGAAGGACCTACATTAAAGCAGCATTCCAGATGAGTGCTCTCACTTTTGTCTTAGCGGTACTGTATCTTCTTGATGAAATAAATAGTGCAACATACCATCTGTAAGTACCCCAAAATGAGATTCCGTGGCATTCCAAAACCAAGACTAAACAATTCAGGTTTATGTTGCACTGTTTTCCCCCCTATTACTGCCATGAAGTTAGGTTAGGTTATCATAGCACAGATAGAGTCTCTTTTGATATGAACCATAACTTAGCTCCCAAGGCAGTATCAAAAGTTCTGCATTACCAAAGTGCTCTTTGTGAACTAAAACCAGCCCTGAAATTTCACACTATTTGATTTCCTCAGAGCAACAGAAATCTTACCACAAAAAAGGAATAGCTGATCTGATGAGTATCATTAACTAGTCTCAGAATCAAGCAATTAGAAGCTTTAAAGGAACAGATTTTACAAATCATCAACTCTTCCCCACTTGGTATGTCCACCTTTACCTGCAGAAACAGAGTTTACGAGAACCATAATATATACAAATGGTGCAGACTGCATTCTGACTCCTACCAGTAAGTTTTGGTTACCGCTCAGAGCACATTTTATAAGTCTAAGTTATGAACCACTAAGTAAATGGGTGCTGAAACAATGGAAAACTGATACAATTTTGATGACAGAAGAGAGGGTATAGGCAGAATGTTGCCTCTAGGCCCGCACAGAACGTAACTGTGTTATAGGAGTCGAGGTCCAAATCTTTGATCTTGCTTTTTGCAGAGGCTATGATGTATAAAAACCAACTGTACCATGCAGACAGTCCTATTCTAAACATAAATTCTTTTTTTAACTATAGCAAGGCACTGCTTATGGGAGAAAGAAGCTTATCAGAAGGAACTGTATAGCTGCGAACCAGTAAAACCCTTCAATGTGGAGGGGGGGAAATAAAATGCAAACAAAGATTTGAATGGGCGGGGGAGAAAAATGTGCGCCTCAACTGTTTTATCTGACAGAAGGAGGATTTAAATAGAAAATATTCACACATCTTGCAAAGACAGCAACATTTTGTTACCTGCCACCCATAAAAGAGCTGATTTGCCATACCCTTAAAGAAAACCCTACAAGAATCATTGACTTAAGTAACGTTAAATTTTATTTGGAGATTGGGTTGCAGACAGAGCTGAAACTGAACATGCCTAGAAATTTAAAGACCTCTCCCTTCCAGCTTACTCTTGCCTTTTGCCTATCAAGCTAAACCCTTCCATCCCTAGGGTTTAAGTCATTAATATTCTGGTGCTGTCTTTGCAATTACACTCCCCCCCCCACACACTACACACACACATACAAGTTTCCTTTTTTAAGATCTCTCAACACACACACATACCACAACTGGATACAAGAGGAATTCTTTTTGCCATGATGAATTTTTTCCCTCTGCTTTTATGCTTCATGTAAACTCATGCTTCACTCTCCCTTTCACCTTTGTCTTATTGCAAAATTTACAGTTTTGGAAGCATTCAAGTATGAAGGCATAACTCAAGCTCCCGTTCACATTTCAGATGTGAAAACAAACTGTTTTTGACAACCCGATCGAGCTTTATTTGAATTTATTCACTGAACTCTCTGCATTCTAAGAGCTCAGCCTTCTCAGAGAACAGTACTATGTGCCTCTGTTGACAATGTAATAGAAGAGGTTTCTGCTGTTCACTCTCTGCCTCATGAAGAATTCTGTGCAACATGCAAGCTGATATACTAAATCCAGCTACAGAACAAGTCACTCATTGAATATTCACAAGGACCAATATAGGAGCTATGGCTAAGGTTTTTTCCCTTAGTTGAATGTTCCGCCTGTGATGTTTCTACAGTGGAAAGAAAAATCAATCCTCTGGTATACCTTCAAGTAAAAGACACAGCAACTTCCTCCCACCATATACCCCAACATACCTTTAAAACAAACAACACTTGTGCCGCATCTTTCCAATTGATAACTTTACGTAGTGTGCAGCAAGAGGTCTGCTTGAGTCCATTTTGACATTTATGACCACTAGAAGTTGCTAGTGAAGACTTTAATTTGTTTCTGGTATGAGTACCTTCCATTAAAACAGACCAAGGTTTCTGCTCCACGAATTTATCAGACTAGGGTGAACTCTGAAGTACCCTTAAAGGAACATCCTCCTTACTTCATCCATTAAAAGGGGGTGTGTGTGTGTTAAGCTCAAGCTGTTTTAAGACCATGCTGTATTCCCATGGTCCACACCCTCTCCTTCCCTCACTTCCCATCATGCAGAAACTAATACCTCTCTTCCACTGCTCCACATCACAGACCTTTAGGGCTACTTCTTACAAGTTAATACTATGCTAAGCTTGTAAGAAGAAAAATGAGAAGGCAGCTCTCCGCTCTGCAGCCAGTCCACAGCGCTTCCCCCATGCAAGCCAGCAGGTTGCAAAGAGCCCTTCCATGACCAATTTCTACTTAAGGGTGGGGAGGGGCAGGAGGACGGCATTTCAGCCTTGCCTTCATCTACTTTCTCCAAACACGAGTCCAATGAGAAACAGAAGGAGTCCGTTTGGCTTGCCCCCTCCTGAAAATGCCCCCCCAACCCCCTTGCTTTCCCCGATCAGCCAGTCTACACACAGATCTCAGTCCCAATCACTGCAATGTCTGGATTTCTACTCCTACCCGTTCAAAGCCTTATGGAAATTATCTCGCTTCTCCCCCACCTCTTTCCTCCCCTCGCCTTTCCCCCCCCCCCAGCACCCAGCCTATCTGATCTGCTTTATATCTCATTCCAATATCTCAAATGTACAGCAACTTTAAGCTCATTGCCAGAGTTCAAGGAAATCCTTCAATCAGGGAACTTCATTTACAATCCAGCACATTGACAGGGTTTGTACTTTCCCCTTTCCCCCCCCCTCCCAATACACACACACACAGAGAGAGAGACGGGATTTTTAATGCCCTCTCCCATCTAATGCAGTCTCCATTACAGGATTACAATTGCATCAATAAAATACTCCATATGTTTTCTCTTCCACCCTACCCCTCTTCTTTGGTGTTTTTTTTTTAAAACTCGCCCTGCTAAGTACTCTGCACCCTGTCTGACACCCAAACCTGAGGGGGGGTTTGCCTTTTTTAGGGAAGATTTATTATACGAAGCGCACCAGAGATGGATGAGCCTTGCGCGCCCCCCCCCACTCCGCCCCGTGCAGAAGGCAAGCCCCCAGCGGCGACCCCGGTGCCGTCAGGCTGGCAAAGCCCTCCCGATCCGCGCACGCCAGCCACCGGCTCTCCGGCGAGGCGCGCAGCGTCCGCCGCCCCGCTCTTCCTGGCTCCTCGCTCGTCCTCACCGGAGGGATCCCTCCTCTCGCCGGGAGGCTGGGGCGCCTCGGGGGTGCCTCGCGGGAGCCGGGGGGGGGCGGGAAAGGCTCGGTCAGGAGGCGGACCGCCTGCTCCTCCGCCTCCCCCCCCTCCTCAAGACCCGCTTGCCCTGAGCCGAGCCCCTCCGCCGCCTTACCTTGCGAGCGAGTGCCTTTCCGCCTCCCGTGCGGGGAGAGCCCGCCGTCTACACGGTGATCTGCTTTATGCCGCCTTCGAGTCCGTCCCCCTTCGAGTCCGCGCCGCGGGAGAATCCTGGCTCGGCTCTCCGACCTGAGCCTCGCGGTCCCTGGCCAGACCGGGAGGGGAGCCCCAAATGAGGAGGGCGGCGGCGGCGGCGGCGGTGGTGGAGAGACGTTAACTCGGGAGAGTTGCGCCGGGGCGCCTCGCCCAGCCCCCGGAAGGCAGCAGCAGGTCGGGCAAGTTCGAGGGACCGGTCCTCGTCGTCGTCGCCTTCTGCGAAACGGCAAGCGGAACGTCTCCCTTCGCCGCCGGTGCCCACAGGAGGGCCAGGAGACAACGAGGAGGAAGAGGAGGAGGTGGAGGAGGGCGCCCGGCCAGGTTGCGCCCGGTGGCTCTCAAGTTGTTCGAGAGAAGGCGGGCAACTTGCAGGATCGGAGGCAGCGCCTTTCCCTCGCCCGCTGCAATTCTCACGGCGTCCAAATCACGTCCGTCCCCCCCGCCCCGCACCTCTTCCTCCTTCCCCTCGCTTTGCAGAGCCAGCCAAAGGCACCCAAAAGAGACGGGCAGGGAAAAAACACCGCGAGGCGACCTTTCTCTCCCCCCCCCTTCCCCGGGAGGGCGCGCGAGCCCGTCCAAAGTCGCCCCTCCGTCCGTCTGCGCGAGAGCCGCCTGGTGGTGCCGCCGCAGGGGGTCCACTTCCCCCCCTCACACACACACACCGCGCACGCGCCCCCTCCTCCTCCTCTTCCTCCGCGAGGCTTTTGGTCGCG